ATGCGACACCCCTGGTTAATGAAATGTTTAGCTTCGGTCTTCAGTGTCCAACAGGGTTTTATTTGCTCGATAAATGTGTATTAGTATAACATTATTACTGCTTTGATGTCATTAATGTCCCTCCTGATCTAATGTGGTTAATAGCAGGCTTGGTGTTCTTCATTCACAGCAGGTAGCCAGCAGCCGTTTGGCTCCCAGCAGAAATGTTCATGGACAGTTTGATGCTAATGATCCTGGCCCAGCATTATACTGATCACTCAACCCTATGTATGTATTTTCAGACCAAGCGTTCACACTGTGCTAATAATTCCAGTTAAGCTTAGCTAGCCATGTATCAACAGTTTCTATGGCAACGCGTAACCATAGTGTCTCCTTTTTATTCACAAGCTTTTGTGCTGAACACATGTTTGGTTGTGGGTTGTAAAGGGTGACAATCCCTGGTGAGGTATTGTCTTCTACCCATAATTATGATCATATCTTTGTGCATTAATATTGCATTATCCCAGGAGTTAATCCATTTCCCTTAATAATCCATTTAAAACTCTGTAATCTTACCCACAGTGGACTGCCCTCAAACAGATCTCTGTTTATACCTTGGTTTAATATGTACAAGATAAATATAGTATGAATGGGGATGAATAAAAATTAAAAATTGAGTCAGCTCACTTTAGAACCACAGTTACGATATGATTTTGTGAAAACTAGCAGATAATCAAACCTGTCAAAACAACGAGTTAAAATATAAGAATATATATGTTCAAGTACAGCCTCAGCTTAATGCAGGATGATAAATGGTTCAATGATTCAAATTGAAAATGATTTAAAAGCAGTGGTTTTATTGTTCAAATTAGAAGATACGTGATTGGTTAAAAAAGAAACAAACACAAGTGGTAAACAACCTTACTGCCAATAAATGTATTTTTGGTGAGCCTCCTCAGTCAGAAAAGTCTGGACATGCCTCTGATACATGGCGTCACATAGAAGTAATAACGTATCATGTCTAAACTCTAAATGGCTTAATAAAGCGAAATAAAATGAATTGATAAACAGTCTGAGAAACAACAGTCATAACAGATTAATATTTAAACCGGTTGCTCTCTCAGATGGATGCAAAATGTAGCCTTATGGATAAACAGTTGAAGGAGTAAAGTTATCAATAAACAGTTTAAAGAGAAGCTTAAAGTAGTGAATAATATCTTTTGAAAATGTTGGCTGGATTTCTCTATTTTTATTTCGTATTTTCACATTTCATCTTTTCTGGGATTGTTAATGGTTTGCTTAGTGATTTTTAAAATGTTTTATTTCAATATTTCCTTTTCTCTTTGTCTTGATGCTTTCGATGTCTTGTGTGAAACACTTTGAATTGCCTTGTTGCTGAAATGTGCTATCAACTTGACTTGGAAAAACTGGAAACTGGAAAAATTGGAAAACAGATAAAATAGTCTAGAAGATAAATGGTTAATGTTATGAAGGACAGATGAACAAGTCACCTTGAAACAGTTTTGGCTAAAAGCAACAAAAGGCATGGTTGAAACATTGATCTTCTGCTTTATAGTGTTAGCCTTAATAATTACAGATACACTTACATATACACACATAATCAGTTGAGTTAATGAGTAAATGAAATGTTGTTTTTATTTGATCCAAATGATCATGTTAATGTTGTCCTCCAGGAGGTGTACTTAAGTATCTTTGACTGTATACATTCTATGGGCGACTTCAGGCAGAAAAAGATGGCCGTCGGTGTGTTTTGTTGAATAGACACTTGAATGACATAAAAAGGTGGAAGAGGGTTAATACCATCCCTTCAGATGCAGAAAAGAGTTGAAGTGGACAAAAATGCAGAGAGCAAGTGTTCCAGAGTTCAATCTTATATAAACAATATTACTCTTCCATAGATATTGTGATTAAAAAAAAACCACACCATCCAGTCAACCTATATCTACACTCTACCCTGATAAATTTATAACCATTAAGCCTCTGTAAGGTGCCATGTGACTTGTGATTTATTACAAACACCAGCTGCATGTCCGCAGGTTCAGTGGGATGCAAAATTGCCTCTTCATGCAATGCCTGGTAAAAAAAATAAAAAGGTGTAGCATGTGTCTCACAATCCAGAAATCACATGTTTTCTGTTGGAGAAGAGACAGAGAATGATGGAGATCATTACTTTACGGCGTTGGTTAAGATTTGAAAAACACTGAACGTTGTTGATTTAAAGAGGCAGATACTCAGAATACAGTATGTAATAATGCAAGACATGCTTTCTGCTTTCTTTAGCAAAGAAGCTAGTTAACATTGGTTACTACAATCATTAAATCAGTCCAATATAATAACATTTAAATGCTCATAATTTTCTATAAAATGTATCTGCAGCAGATATAGAAGTTTCTTTCTCAACATGGGCGTTCCAAGCTGCTACTTTGTATGTTAGTGTGTCACAGAAAAACAGCATGAAACCAGTTGTGTGCACATGTCTCATCCCTTGAAGGCATGTAGGATTGATGACCTGTGGTGATATATTTGGAAAATCATTTCCTTGTAATTTGCTATGGGGAGAAAATAGACGGAAATGTGCAGCATTATTTTATAATTACATTTTACATTCAAAAAATGTGCACAGATAAGGCCAGAAGCTTGCATGAAAACATCTCTGCACACATGATTACAGGCCATTATTCTGCACTATAGTTCAGTCCTGCTCTGTTCCATTTCATACACATATGATTCTCTGTACATATGTGAGATAAATTGCATCTTACCCCTCTGTGATCGTGTACAAGGTCCAAGCATGAGAAAATCTACATTTCATTTCAATAAGCCTCGTTCTTGCTCAGCCATTGGGGGTCACTTACCAGGGTCTGATTCAATTATTCCTCCGTTCACAACAGGAGGAAAACATTTTCATGGTGAGCGGTTTGCTTAAATAGATTACCATCTCAAATAATTCAATTTCCGTTAATTTGATTGATTTCATACCAAGGGGGAGAAAGAAATCTTAATTTAAAACCATTGCATTTCTAATCAAACATTAGCTGAGAAAGAGGCCGGGCGAGAATCCTTTATTACCAGTTTTCCCCGCTAATTTAAATAGAAAATGCTGACGGCCGCCCTCTTTAAATGGCACCGCCAGTGTTCAGTGTGTGACCAGATCTCCACAATGAATACCATTTTCAAGCAGCATGCACATTCCTCACATTATACACCACATAGCCTACACACACACACACACACACACACACATTCCTGCCATACACAGACATATGACTGGGCATTACTACAGAGGATCCAGATGAAGCAGTTCAGTCATCTGATCCATTCCCATCCATTATTCATCCCGCTTGGAGAGACAGGGACGCTGGGCATCTCTTCTCAGAGACACCCAGGAACCCCATCTATTCTCCTGAGCAAAGGAAATACCATGCAGTATGGTGGATCGATTCACGAGAGAGTAAGAAAAAACAAAAGTTCGGGCTGTAAAGAAATGAATTCTGTAGACAAAATTATCACAAATCTGCAAAAGAAAAGTTACAAATTTGAGAAACAGGAGCGACAAAACATGGAAGTATAACTTATTGAGAATGTCTCCACCAGGTGCAGACTGATGCTATGCCGTCTGAAAATAAAGCAGCCCAGGCCGGCGCTGTGAGGGGAAAACACCTTGTGGAGACATTGTGTGAGTGGCAGGCAGAACTGGCAAGCTGCCACAGATAATAACATCTGAAATAAATTTGATGTGTGGAATTCAATCTGTAGCGATGGGGACGGCCGAAGCATCGGAGTGAAGCTCTAAATGCTATCTACTCATCCATGGAATGAGGACTGACACGCAGGCTCAGAGAATAGATTGTGCAATTAGCAGCCTTTGTGCTGTTTTGACACAATGAAGGAGGGAAATGAGATTCAACGTTGTCATGCACTGCTCCTCTGTAGCTCTGCGAAATTCCCAGAAGATATTCCAAATGTACTGTTCCAGGTGAGAATAAGTAAGGGAAGCTGAAACAAGACCAGATACAGAGAGAGTTCATCTGGTCACACTTATTAATAATCTCCTCTATTTCATTTCCACTCAGGAGGTGTTATTTTAGCATGTGAATTTCTTCTTCATTTCAATTTTTAGAAGCGTGTCACCTTTTGAGCACGTGTCAGCTACAATTACAAGCTGCAATACCGAGTTCAAGGCAACGGGGGCGCTCTATGAGTAGGCTTCAACACAGTTGATTCAGAGAGTTTCACAAAACTTTACTGACTACACTTTGAATGAAGCTGTGTTTAATGCTATGGTGCCACATCCAGTCCATTTTTTTCATGATTTCTTTCAAATACCACAAAGCCCCCTGAATACCTGCTGTTACAGTTCAACTGAGCAAGTGCATGAATGTGTGTTTTTGTCGTGAACAAGTGTGAAATAGGCGCACCGTTTCTTAACATGCAGCCTCAAACAGACTGCAATGCACACTCCGTTTAACAAACAGCACCTTTACATCGATATTGGCCTCACAACTGTATAATAAACACAAACTAAATGCGGTTTCAGCACAGAATTATTTGTGCTCAAGCTGTAAAATAAACCCTCAGTGCGGCGAGTTGAGGATACGTTGGTCTCACTCACATGAACTAACAGCCTATAACCATAAAAGAAAATGGCTCTAATATTCCTATAAAGTGTGTGTGGTTCTCACTGGTGAGTTTATGGTTACCTCACCGCGCTCCAGTGTATTTTACACTTCCCATGGCATCACAGTAATATTCCTTCTATACTCCTAGTGGGAATTATTGTGCGTCTTTTGTGCTCACTGGCAATCCATTACAGTTCTGACATCTCTTTTTTTTTTATTCTTCCCAATGCCACTGTAATATTCCTATATCATTTTATAGGCCTAGATGTCATTGCAACATAATGCAGCCCAATATGATCGCAAGCTCCCTGCTTGAGCCCTCCCTCCTCCTCCTCCTCTCATGTGTCTACATTTTCATCCCATGGCCGTCTCTAGGTGATTTAGCGCCGCCAGTCTCAAGCAGGTGTCCAACATGGCGATCACGGGGAGCGGATCTCTCGCTATTTCTCTCTCTTTTTTCGTGATTTTGTCGGCGTTTCTGCAAAAAGGTAAGAGTTGAATGCTTTATTTCAGGGTCTGGGAGTCAGTATTTCCTCCTCTTCCTCCACAGCGTAAAGCCGGGAGAGTAGCGGGGAGAAGTTGTGTTGCGTTTGCGCGCTGGATGCGCACAAGCTTCCCCACAGATCTCAGCATCACTTTCTATTGCTTTGGACTCCACAATTTCCACGCTGGTTCTTCGGATTGTTGGGCTATTTATTTCGCGCATTTATTGGATTTTTTTTTTTTTTTTTTTTACTGCATTATATAGGCTACGGAGGACGGCTGTAACAAAAGTAACGTGAATGCTTCACAATTGCAAATGCGCAGTTAAAGTATCCCTAGTGATAATCGTGCGAAATGTACGTACAGTATATAACCTAAAGGGCAAGTTAAATGCATTGCACACTGAAACGTGCCTCTTAAATGACACAACACGACTCAAACGCACTCCTTTCCATTAGTGATAATTCCGCATACTATTCCTAACTCATCAAGAATGACTCCAAATCTCTCAAGTGTGAGCTTCACGTGCATCTTTGGAGCAAAAACACGCATTGCAGCTCTCGTCTCGCACAGTGTCCTCTGTCCGCACAACCGCAGCCTCCGATAGCAGAGAGTTGTGTGTGTGTGCGTGTGTGTGTGTGTGTGTGTGTTCCAGTCCGCAGTCTTCACTTCTCCTCCTGTCAGAGATGTAAATCTGCTGCATGATAAACCAGGACCATTGCATTTTCCCTCTCCGTTATCCCTCCGCTGTTGCATCAGTTACATGCGTCAGTGTTTCTCCCTCCTTTTTTATTCCTGGAAAACGTTCCTGTTGTCAATAACTGACGCATGTAAAGCGGTCAAATGTCACTTTGCAGCCGCTTTAAATCCCTCCCAGTGTGTAAGATGGATATGTTGTGTTGTTATTCCTCCGGGTTATAAAAAAAAAAAAAAAAAAAAACCGGCATGCAACAGTTGCGATGACAGGTTTGCACTTCCTTGGGTTGGGATTTCTTGGCGTTTTTCTTCTCTTCTCGATGATGCCAAGCAGTGTAGCTTACAATAGTGGTACCTGCATCAGCCATCAACAGGTCTGCAGAAAGTCATCAAAAACTGTGTGTGTTTGTTTGATGTGTGTTTGTTTGAGTCTGTGTAGTGGGATTGGTAACCTGCTTCCTGCTTTTATTTCCCAGTTGTTGAATTTATTACGGCTGGTGTTGAATAGCGGTTGAATGACATTTACAGCATTGTCTTGCGCCTCCTTGTCACATTAAGTTAATTAACCTCTCAGTCAAATAAAAGAATCCATCTTGAATGCACAATAACCTCAAGCTCAAAGCACGGAGGTGCACCTTCAGTAAAAGAGACGCAGCATTTGAAATCCCCCAAACAGGCGATGATGATCTGACCTCAAGTTTTTCATTCGTTTGATTGTGTTTGTGCCAGATGCTGCCTGGAGCAAAGAAAGGAAGGGCCCCGGCTGTTGTTTTGTGAAGTGCTGACAGTCTGCTTTTTGACAGCCTCCAATTTTTCTTTGTTAATGCTCCACAATCCGATTTGTCTGCTGAGAGGGGAAGAGTCCCACTAACTGGATACTGCTTGACACAAGCAGTGTTTAGTTTAGTCTAAGGATACAGAGGAAGGCAGGGTTAATGAAAGAAAACAGAAAGATTCGGGGTTTGTTGTTCTTAAAGCATGCAGAGGGAGTGAGACATCTCTGCTGTGCGTCCTGTTATGAAACCCTGAAACACTTTGCATCTGAACAAAAAGACTCTCTCTAGTGGTACAGCGCTCCCCTGCTTCTCCCAGGGCTCGGCCTGTTGTAGCAGATCAGATGGTCAAATTTCAGAAGGTTGCATAATCCTGCTCTGTGCCAGCTTACAGTCATTCGTCAGGGCTGAGTGATGGTGAAGTGGATCAATACGAGCTGTCATGAAGCCTCAAGGCGCCGCTGAAGGACGGCATCTCAGAGAAACAAAAGGAAACGTACAGTTGTTACGGGTCTCTTGGTTGCCAGCTGGCACGTGACTCGATGAGTAATTGAAGATCTCTCGCTGCTTACGGTGGGCTCTGGCTTTGAAACAGATACCGCTCAAATCTGCGAGCAGTGTGCTGCTCTGCCCTCAATTTGTGTTTGCCTCCACTGTGTGTGTGAGTGTGTGTGTTCTGGGGGTTGGAAGTGTTTATTTCCTCAGTTATCATTCAACTGTTGAGCTGCTTTTCTTTATGTCAGTGGTGCCAATGTGTTCTCATTCCAGGTGTTTGAATACTGATGCCCTTTTTCCTGGCCCTTAGCTCCCCATACAAACAGACACACAGGATATTCTGTTTTCTGACTTTCATGTTAATGTGAAACTGCCTGTTAGTTAAGTGTAGAGCGAAAAAAAGAACCTGGTTACGCTATAAAAAAAAGATTGAAGTTCAAGATAAATTGGTAACTTGATAGAGTTTTGGTGTCACGCTAAATTTGGCAGTCTTGATCTTTGTTTCTTTTAGGCCATGTCCCTCTGAGCAGGTGCTCTGAACATCTAATAATGTCGCAGAGGGGTTTACATTGGAGTTGTTCAAAAGGCTGCAGGGCCTTGCAAATGCAAAGGTTCACTTTGTTTTTTGTTTGTGTGAGGGACATTATGATTCGTGAGACACTGTCAGTATTTGACTCTACTTGTGTCCAAAAGAAGTATGTTTATACCTGTTTCAGTTGCTTGTTGAAGATACATTTATTACAAAAAGCAGATAGCAAAGGCTTATCAAATTAAAAATGTAGATCTTACAGGAGTAAAAGTAGCAAAGCAGCAGTATAAATATTACATTTTAAGTAAAATACCCAAATTAAAAAGAAGCAATCCACACTTAAAGCTCCTGTGAGGAGTTTTAACTGGTTATTGAATAGATTGAGTTGAATACTGATGGCTCCATATGAGCTACAAAAGAAAGCCAGACTACCAGTGAAAATACAGATTATTTCTGGATAGTTATTTCAATGCCTGTGAAAGCTGAAAGTGTCAGACGAGACCCAGACAGCAATTTTTCCACACAGCAAAGATTCTCAGTGAGTGATATATTTAAATGAATAAAGCTAAATGATGAACATCTACCATGTAACAGAACAAGATCAGCACAGATAAGACATTCTGCTGTGTCCACATGGGGGGGCGCCAAAATCAACACAAACCAAAAGTTCCTCACAGCAGCTTTAAGGTGTCAAACGTTGAACTACTTAAAGGACGATAGCCGTTTTTCTTTATAAATAGTTATTCTCCAAAGTAACGACCAATTGCAAATGAAACCTCTTCAGTTTTGTAGTAGAACTACAAAGTCAGTTAAGATTGAAATATTTAAGTAAGAGTACACCAACATTTTTACTTGAATGCAAATTTAAGAAGGACTGTGCCTGAAATCCTCCTGATGTGGCTGTTCACACATGCACCTCATGGTGAGAGACTATCCCTGTCATGTGGAGGACATGGTGTAAAAAGAACAACGCGGAAGTGAAAGATGAAGCAAAAAGAATATTGAGAATATTTACCTTCATATCAATGTTACGTGTAGTTTGACAGAATCACAATATCACACAGGTCACGTACATTTAGTGTATGGTCATGCACTTACAGCAGGGAATAAACATCACCGCCCCCCTTCCACTTGCTCGTGGTGAATACTCCTGATTATATCCTGCTGCGTTCTCACATTTTGTGCAAGTGTGAACAATAAAATCTTATTTCTGAAAGCTGAGTTAATTATGTCATATTTGAGTCAAAACTTCAACTTTTTACTGTTACATGAGGTAGAGAAAATATGACATTTGTATTTTTTGGATCCAGATATACGAATTAATTAATGATGTAATTGTTTCTGCGCTATCAGAACCACACGCAGCACATCAGCACTCCCTCTGTAGCAAACCAAAGTCATCTCTCTCCTCCATCTGTGTAAAATAGCTCTCACCGTGCCGTACCATGTTTCAGGATAAATGTAATACCCCACTTAATGGCCCATTGATATGTGCCCCGCTCGTGAAGTATTTCATCGCCTGTACATTGAGATCACCACAGTTCATCATTTGTAAGAATAATAAACTCTTCTATTTAAAGAAATTGAATTTATTGCTCATTAAATTTACATTAAACTCTGCTTAATAAGCCCCACTCTAATTGCGAGATAATGCATGGCACTACTTTATGTGGTGGCAGCTAATCATACCGTTAAAAAGCGAGGGGCTTGCAGAGAATTGGCAGCTGATGCATGGAAGGAACTTAGCCTCTGGTTTCAGATGTAACAATGGAGGTCATGCGGATATCTATCCACACCTCCAGGCTGCATTTATCGTACGTGTGTGAAGTTCTTGCTGGTAAATTGAATGTATTCAAACCATTAACACTGTGTTCGGGATCATGCTTCCCACTTTTTGAGATTTCTTATGAACAGGATGTGAAAGCAGAGGGTCCTTGCAACTTCGAAGTGAATAGCAGATTGGTGTTTGTCCATACAGGTCAAAGGCTGCAGCGAGTTAGCCTGAGAGAAGTTGGTTGTGGCGCTCAATGTTGGTGGGGAAAAAAGAGAAAACTCTTTTTTATCCTTGAGTTAATACACTTTTCTGCTTCTGAAAGGGTCCAATCTCCTCTCAGGAACATCACCTTGGGTGCTTGGTACAAGGGTTTTTCTCCACATAGTGGGACCTTGGAGTAAACACTGTATCTGCTAGTTTTGTCGAGGTCACAGGAGCACTGTTTTAGACATTTTCATCACTTTGAAAGATGTTTTAAAAATAAGAGGATTTTTTTTCTTCTGCTAGGTAAGCGATTTGTACGGTGGTGTCTAACTGACGATCTAAAATATGTGTCTCTGTCCATCCGTCTGTGTGGAAATGTAGTAAACAGTCAATTAGGAGAAACAGACAGATGACAGGTTCTTTCATGACGGTGAGGACAGAAGCTTCCATTCATGACGCTGCTGTGGTAATGAGGAGGAGAGCTGATGTCTCCGCTTATGAATATGACATTGTTCTCTGTGTTCCCTGAATCTG